GGGCCGGGGCGGCTGGACCTGTCAGCGCCTTGTTGGCGGCCCATCCTTTGGCGGATGGTGACAGGGGCCGCGAAGCAAGTGGGACCGTTCGCGATGACGGGTCGCTCCGGAGCTGGGAGCGAAGTGTGATGAGCGCGTGTGTGCCCGCTAACGGGGAGTAGCCGGCGATGAGCGCTGAGGGCAGGGGAGGAACCTTCAGGGCTACAGCAAGACAAGATCCTGTTGCTGTATCATTCCCTGTTGGTTTCAGGCTGATTATCAGTGACGGGAAGGATCTTGTGGCATAAAAGCGCTTCAGGTCATTCCGATGAAAGGTGCTGTTACATAGTAGAAGACTGTAATTGAAATCTCAGAGGCGGTATTGTGGTGATGGCATAGATGGGGTTTGCTGTGCGCAGAAGCTTTGGTATGCTATGGGACACTCACAAAGAGATTCCTGTCACAGCACAGGTTGCGTAGGTTGGATGGGGGAGAATAGTTACTCCTTTATTTGATTTAACGTCATCGGGTGTACTGGAATCCAGCATCATTACTGTCCACCTTGGTTCTATTACTCTGAAGTTAAATGTATAGTCACATGACTATGCTTTTATAGTTTCTCTTACTAGAAAAGAATACACAGTATTTTTAGCAGATATTTGTCAGTTGGCATGTCTGTGGTTAACCGGTGGCCCAGCCAGTCTGGAGCAGTCCCCTGCCTGATGCTGGTGGGGGAACTGCTCCAGCCTGGCCCAGACAGCCCTTCACCAGCCAAGGCCCAGAAATCCAGCTGGAGGAGCCTGTCTACTCTGGGTGAATGGGGGAGCGCCAGCCTGTTGGAGGCAGGCCTGGCCTGACTGGAGCAGCCCAACACGCTGCGGATGGGTGGTGGCCTGGCCTCCTTGAAGCAGCCAGTTAAGTGGTTAACTAGTTAAACATAACCAGTTAACTGATTAAATGGGTTTTTACATCCCTAGATGAAACAGCCAAGTTTATAATACTTTTTGTCTGTTTCCTTATACAAGCATTCTATGTTCATGTGTGTATATAATATACATGTATGGGGAAGGATGGATGGAGAATCTGTCTGGCATCTGTCACTAGAGAAAACAGCAGTTGTATGGATATATGAATACAAATATGAGAGATGCCTACATAGGCTATAGTTGAATAGATGTACTCTGTGCAGTTATACCAAGCAAACTAAGTATTTAGTATAGTAAGGGCCTTTTTAAAAAATATGCTTTTTGTCTATTGCTGGTAGTATTTAAAAGTATAAGAAAATATATTAGTTAGGAATTTATAGAAGAGGGTTGAAAGGTGTGTTATAAGTTCCATGCACTTCTGTTATCACAAGAGAGCAAAAGCAGTGAGAGGACAAAGATTAGTATGGAGTTTTTAACCTTGAGTGTGTATGCTTTGACAAGAGGAAATCCTCTTTGTTGTGAACGGTGATGGATTTACGAAGTCTGATAAATTACTGTGTGAGAATTGGAAAAACAAAAGAAATAGCATGCTTATAACTTAACCTTTTCTATATAATACATGGTATTTATAGAGAAGGTATTTATGATGAAGGTGAAATGGAATGTGTGAACGGGTTTATATTCTTATGCAGGCAATATAAATGGAGAAACAGGATTTAAATTTAACAAACTGCATTTATTTTAAATGAAAAAAACTTAAGTATATAGATACATACGTTACTATATACATTTTTTAGTATTAAGAAATCAGGTACTACAAAAACCTCAGAATGGAGATGTTGAAACTGAGCTGTGAAGATGCAGTATCAGAATAATAATTTAAAACTAGCAAGATTTATTGATTATATGGTGGTGAATGTAAAGAACAATGTACTATTGCATGTTGTCGTCTAGTTTAATACCTCTTAAATATAGTTAACATTGGAATGAATTAATTCTGTGTTACAAATCTGTCAAAAATAAATCCTCTGTAGGCAATGCTGTCTTTGTTGGGCTGTATCTGGGTGTGTATGTATTCATATTTGCTACAATACTTGAGAGAACAGTTAGCAAGATGTTAAAGGTGATATGATATGATCCTGCAGATTTTTGTGTCTCCTGATATCGACTCTCAGCTGTGACTGTGGGACAAATGTATTCATTAATCTGTGTAGCTCTCAATACAGAATCTTTTCAGTTCTTGACAATGACCTCTCGGATTATATAGGGAAATTCCCTAGTAATGTATTTAAGAATTAGTTCTTTGGTTACACAAAGTTAATGTCTTTTTCTAAAGGTAGTTTTGATAATATTAGTTTGATTTCTAAAGGATGAACAAAATTTGTGATGTGTATAAAAGAGTGACTGTACTTATTGCTAAATTTGCTAATGCTTTTTATTTGGCAGTCAAAGTAACTTTTGGCACAGTATGTCTAATTATTCTGCTTACGATGGAAATGTATTATTAGCCTTCTTCAGAAAATATCTTCATTTTTATTTGCTTTAGATCTGCTACTGTGTGCTTGGTAGCCACTGTGTCTTTAACCTCTTTGTGGTATTTTAGAAGCACTAGGGGATTAGGCAGAGAAATTCAGACTGAGAATGGAAGCCCATGAGACATTAATCAGGTCTTGTAGAATCCATATAGTACTGCATGTTGCATTTTCTGATAAACTGTAACACTGCAGTTTTCAGGCCAGATAAGGTTATATGTATACTAAAATAAAATTTGGATTGTTTCTAAAAAGAAAACATTTTTCCTTATCCATGACCGTATTTTAACTTTTATAGCAAGAAAATTAGAGAAAGCCAGTACGGCCAATTCTTTTTGTATTTGGAATGTTCAGTCAAAAAATTCATTTTATCTCATGTTAAATTAGGACTTGATCCTATAGTAAGAATACATCAACAGATTTCAAGCTGATTATGTTGCCATGCCCCCATATTTTTTTATGGAAATGTGTATTTGAATATGCATAACTCAGACATTTTGCAATACAGGTCATGTAGCCTATCATTCAAGAGCCTGTAATCCCCTGAATGTGTACTTTCTGTGCATGTATGTATCTTGTATGTGAAATTAGAAATATTAAGATAGAACCTGTTTTATTAGTCTAGGTAGTCTAGTAAAAGCCATTAGTGATACTTAATGGCAGGGCGATCAAGTCAACAACCTGTGAATGTCTTTGTCTTTCCTGTGAGCCCAAAAGTGGGTGGTCCTACAAATCCATGTGACTATGCCACCTGATTTTGGACTCCATCTTGAATCTGGCATTTTTCCATGGGGACAGGAGTACTAAACAAAGGGTTCCTGGTCGGGAAAAGACTGTTTAAAGAATGGAAAACAGTGTTCCCTTAAGATTTTCCATCCATGAGCGGAGTGACACCAATATTGAAGTCATGTATGCTTGTTTGGATGTGTGTCACCATGGCACTCAGGTTATATATTTATTTATTTATTTATTTAATGTTATAGAAGAAAGAATATTAAAACAAGGGATAATTAAGATGCATGAATTTAAATATTTATTTAATGTGAAGTAAAATAAAAAGAAAATTAATACTGCAAAATTGTCAGTATCCAAGTTCCTCAGTTTATAGCCCTCTTCCAGACCCTCACCCTGCTGGACTAGATGATCTTCCTTCCAGTCCTATGATTCTGTGGTTGCTGTCAGAATTCAAAACAACAAAAGGATGTTGGAGGATTTGTTACCAAAATCAGAAGTATGAGATCCAGCAGAAAAGTCTGAACTACACCATATCTCAACTTTTTTTAGGATACCATGGTGCATGAGTGCAGGAATGAAAGATGTATCCAAGCTCCCTTTGAGCCTTCTGTATTTTCCATCTAGCCAGAAGCAAGTTCAGTTGCTGTTGTATGTTAGATTAGCCTCAAGACTGCTTTAAGTCTGCACAGCCTACGGTTCCATAGAACTCACAGGAGGCCAAAAATAACCACACACTGTGCAGCACTACTTTAATTTTCCTCTAGAATGCCCCTATCTCAGGAGCTTTGAAGGGGCACCACAGAGTCATTTCATTGGCTCTAAGCAAGAGAGAGAGTCCCCTACTTATACAGGGGGTAAGACCCAAGTAGGGAAGTGAAATCACTTTCCTTTAGGGTACGTTTGGTTACTGGAGTGCAAAATGGCCACACTGCATAATGCTGCACAAATAGCATGGACACCCACTAGCACAGTCAGGTGGAATCTCGGCCAGGGTGCTCCTTTCCCCTTTCTGTAGTGGTGCTGGGAGCTTCTGGCATGCTGCTGCAGGAGTCAGAATTGCTCTTCTCCCCCTGCCCTGGTTATCCTCTCTCCCAACCAGCATCTGAGCCCTTTTGTTGCTGTTTATATAGGGCGGCAGAGCAGCAGCAGGACAGACAGTAGGCAACACTCTGCGGGCTAAGGATGTTAAATTGCATTTAATCAGCTGATTGAATAGTTGA